TGTGATAGACTACATCCAATTTGCTGAGTAGAGTGTTGGAGGCTATTTTGTAAATGACATCGCCAAAGTCAAGGATCGGTAGGATAGTCAGTTTTACGAGGGCATGTTTGACAGCATGAGTGAAGGAGGCTTTGTTGCGAAATAGAAAGCCGATTCTAGATCTAACTTTTAATTGGAGATGCTTAATGTGAGTCTGGAAGGACAGTTTACAGTCTAACCAGACACCTAGGTATTTGTAGTTGTCCACATACTCTAGGTCAGACCCGCCGAGAGTAGTGATACTAGTCGGGTGGGCGGGTGCAAGCAGCTTTCGGTTGAAGAGCATGCATTTAGATTTACTAGTGTTTAAGAGCAGTTGGAGGCTACGGAAGGAGTGTTGTATGGCGTTGAAGCTCGTTTGGAGGTTTGTTAACACAGTGTCCAATGAAGGGCCAGATGTATACAAAATGGTGTCGTCCGCATAGAGGTGGATCCGAGCGTCACCAGCAGCAAGAGCGACATCATTGATATACACACAGAATAGAGTCGGCCCGAAAATTGAACCCTGTGGCACCCCCATAGAGACGGCCAGAGGTCCAAACAACTCTATCTGAGAAGTAGTTGGTGAACCAGGCGAGGCAGTCATTAGAGAAACCAAGGCTATTTAGTCTGCCAATAAGAATGCGGTGGTTGACAGAGTCGAAAGCCTTGGCCAGGTCGATGAAGACGGCTGCGCAGTACTGTCTTTTATCAATCACGTTTATAATATCGTTTAGGACCTTGAGCATGGCTGAGGTGCACCCATGACCAGCTCGGAAACCGGATTGCATAGCGGAGAAGGTACTGTGGGATTCGAAATGGTCGGTGATCTGTTTGTTAACTTGGCTTTCAAATACTTTCGAAAGGCAGGGCAGGATGGAAATAGGTCTATAACAGTTTGGATCTAGAGTGTCACCCCCTTTGAAGAGGGGGATGACCGCAGCAGCTTTCAAATCTCTGGGGATCTCAGACGTTACGAAAGAGAGGTTGAACAGGCTAGTAATAGGGGTTGCGACAATTTCGGCGGCTAATTTTAGAAAGAAAGGGTCCAGATTGTCTAGCCCAGCTGATTTGTAGGGGTCCAGATTTTTCCGCTCTTTCAGAACATCAGCTATCTGAATTTGTGTGAAGGAGAAGCGGGGGGGCATGGGCAAGTTGCAGCGGAGGGTGCAGAGCTGGTGGCCGGGTTAGTGGTAGCCAGGTGGAAAGCATGGCCAGCTGTAGCAAAATGCTAGTTGAAATTTTCGATTATTGTAGATTTATCGGTGGTGACAGTGTTTCCTAGCCTCAGTGCAGTGGGCAGTTGGGAGGAGATGCTCTTATTTTCCATGGACTTTACAGTGTCCCAAAACTTTTTGGAGTTAGTGGTACAGGATGCAAATTTCTGTTTGAAAAAGCTAGCCTTTGCTTTCCTAACTGATTGTGTATATTGGTTCCTGACTTCCCTAAAAAGTTGCATATCGCGGGGGCTGTTCGATGCTAATGCAGTACGCCACAGGAAGTTTTTGTGCTGGTCAAGGGCAGTCAAGTCTGAGGAGAACCAGGGGCTATATCTGTTCTTAGTTCTGAATTTTTTGAATGGGGCATGCTTATTTAAGATTGAGAGGAAAGCAATTTAAAGAACAACCAGGCATCCTCTACTGATGGAATGAGGTCAATATCCATTCAGGATTCCCGGGCCAGGTCAATTAGAAAGGCCTGCTCGCTAAAGTGTTTTAGGGAGCGTTTGACAGTGATGAGGGGTGGTCGTTTGACCGGGAACCCATTACGGACGCAGGCAATAAGGCAGTGATCACTGAGATCCTGGTTGAAGACAGCGGAGGTGTATTATGAGGGTAAATTTGGCAGGATGATATCTATGAGGGTGCCCATGTTTACAGATTTAGGGTTGTACCTGGTAGGCTCGTTGATAATTTGTGTGAGATTGAGGGCATCTAGTTTAGATTGTAGGTTGGCCGGGGTGTTAAGCATATCCCAGTTTAGGTCACCAAGCAGCACGAACACATATGGTGTCCAGGGTTCAGCTCGGGGCTGAGGGGGGTCTGTAGCAAGCGGCAACAGTGAGAGACTTATTTCTGGAAAGGTGGATTTTTTGAAGTAGAAGGTCAAACTGTTTGGGCACAGACCTGGATAGTACGATAGAGCTCTGCAGGCTATCTCTACAGTAGATTGCAACCCCACCCCCTTTGGCAGTTCTATCAAGATGGAAAATGTTGTAGTTTGGGATGGAAATTTCCGAATTTTTGGTGCCCTTCCTAAGCCAGGATTCAGACACTGCTATAACATCAGGGTTGGCGGAGTGTGCTAACGCAGTGAATAACTCAAACTTAGGGAGGAGGCTTCGGATGCAAGAAACCAAGGCTTTTACGATTACAGAAGTCAACAAATGATAACGCCTGGGGAGTAGGAGTGATACTTGGGGCTACAGGGCCTGGGTTAACCTCTACATCACCAGAGGAACAGAGGAGGAGTAGAATAAGGATACGGCTAAAGGCTTTAAGTACTGGTCTTCTAGTGCGATTGAGTCAGTCTCCACGTGTATGGGGGGTGGGACAAAGGAGCTATCTAAGACAGGTTTAGCTGGGCTGGGTGATCTACAGTGAAATAGTACAATAAGAAATAACCGAAACAGCAATAAGCAAGGCATATTGACATGAGAGAGAGGCATAAAGCAATCACAGGTGTAATTTGAGAGCGCTAAGACAACAGCTGGTAATGGTGACAAAGTTTGGGCTGAGGCTAAACATAAACAGGATGTGGTACCTTAAAAAGGAACAGTCCAGCAGGCATCAGCTGTATAGCTGAGTTATCATAAGGTCCGGTGACCAGCAATAGGATAGTTCGGAGGTAGTTCGGGGGCTGCTATAGCACTAGCGAGCAAGAGGCCATGGCTAGCATGTGCTAGCGGGCCGGGGCTAGCAGATGGATCTTCGTGGTCGACGTCGTAACGGGAAGCCTGTTGTAACCACATCAGACGATTTCGTCGGCAGACCAGTCGTGTTGGATCGGCGGGTTCCGTGTCAACACTAGGAGGTCCCGTCCAGTTGACAGAGAGGTAGATAGCCGGGAGATGGGCCTGGCTCAAGGCTAGCTCAAGGCTGATTAGCCAACCACAACGTCCATTTGGTTGCAGCTAGCTAGTAGCGAAGAATCCGGTGTTAAAGGTCCAGTGATTCAGTGATTCCGGCAGAAAAAACGATATGTTCTGGGTCAATAACGCGCTGTGCAGACAGTGCAGACTGGCCAAATTATAGTCCAGGCTAGAGCTGGCTGGTAGGTAGTGCAGGCCACGACCACGGACAATGGTGAAGACCGCTAATGGTGGCTAATAGCAAGTAGCTAGTTAGCTGGCTAGCGATGATCCGGTGTTAAGGTCCAGTGATTCAGTGGTTCCGGCAGAAAATCTGATATGCTCTGGCTCGATAGCGTGATGTGCAGACTGTGCTGACTGGCCGACAATTGTCCAGGCTAGAGCTGGCTGGTAGGTAGTGCAGGCCACAGACAATGGTGAAGACCGCTAACGGTGGCTAATAGCAAGTAGCTAGTTAGCTGGCTAGTTTCAGCCAGAGGTTCTGGATAAAAATGTATGAAGAAACAACAGAATCCGTTCCACATTGGGTGAGGCGGGTTGCAGGGAAGTATATTTAGTTAAAGGATGGAAAGTGAGATTGAGAAATATATACGAAAAAGACAAAAAAAACTAAAAACAGGCTATTTACATGAGGACACTACAGAAAAAAAGCTGGCTATTGTCATGCAAAAGCCTTCCATGCAAAAGCCTGCCGTTCTCACGGTAATTGACCATTCATTAACATAAACAAGTTTAGCATCTCCAGGCCTCCACTCATAAAAGCTGCATTCAAGCCACTGATGTACGCCATTGGAACATCTACATTTAAAAGCCTAATAAATATATGTTATATACACCATCACAATGAATCCATATTTATTTTAGTCAGGTCTAAAGAAAATGATGATACAAAGAAAATGTATTTCAGAAGAATAGAATATGAGTTGGCTATATGTTATCTGGCTATGCTCCCATCAGACTATTCTCAATATAATATTGTCTTTACTAATAGGTAAAATTAGTTTTGATTTAGAGTGGCCCATTATCAAATGGGCAGGAACAGGGGCAGGGGAAAAAAGGTGAGTAGGAGGTGAGATATTCTGTATAGCTAAAGGCAATGTGTCACCCAATTAATTATGAAAAAAAAAATCCCTATTACTAGGCTACTCAAATCAAATACAAATTCACTGTAATTGTAGGGTAACTGTAAGCAGCCCTGCACAATCAATGAATCAACAGCATAGCCTAGGCTATATATTCTCTCCCAGACTCATGGATGTAAAGTTTGGACCATAAGGTAACCAGTCCATCCAGTATGCATACTAATACAGTCCACACTCAAAGGTGATTACTCAAATTTGTTAAATTTGGAGTAGGCCTAAAGGCTAGACCAATTATATACCAAAGACAAATTAAATAAGTTTTGTTTTATTTTCGTCTGCCATGCGTAATATGTGGTAGGCTATGTATTGTATAACAGCACATTCATCATTTTAAATCCGTCCTTGTACTTCCAGATGCCAGCCCAGCTGTGGGCAGACATGACCTGAAGGCAAAATCTCTCCACGTCCTGTACACTGGTGGGGGGTCCCAGCAATAGGGCACAGTGTGGTCGATGGTGCTGAGTCCGAGGGTTCTGAGGATGGGGGTGGCAAAGTAATGTTCAAAGTAGCTGGCTATCCTGCCTGTCTTGTGGATGTTGGTGACCAAGTTGGATAGTCCCTGTGCCCTAATGATGTTAAGAATGTCTAGGAACCCCTTCCCCCCGTTCTCAACTGCTTTTTACAGGGTGCTTGAGTCTCTCCATCTGGCTCCCCAGACAAAGGTGAACATCATGCGTTCGATCTTCTTGCTGGTCACCCTGCCTAGGTACAGGAGAATGGGGAGAACGATTGCCTTCAGGACCAGGATCTTACCTGTCATTGTGAGGAACCGTGCGCTCCATTCGCAGATCTTCTGTTGGACGTGGCGGATCCCTCTGGATTGTGACCCCAAGCAGCTTGATGGTCTCTGTTTTGACAGGGAAAGAGGTGGTGATAGTCTCATGCCAGTCCTGTGACAGGTACAGTTCACTCTTACACCTGTTGACGAGAGTGCCAGTGGCTGTACTGTAGTCGTCTATGTACGCCACCACTTTAAGCCTCTCCCCCAGGGCCCCTGGCATCTGATAGCCAGGGATTCCTGGTGTTGACCTGATTTTCTGAAGGAAAGGCTCTAGGTAGATGACGTACAGCAGAGGGGCTAAGGGGCAGCCTTGGCGTCGGCCGGATCTGATGGGAAATGTGTCTGTGAAGGTGTTGTTTACCAGAACTCTGCTTGTGATGTTCTGTAGCATAGTTCCGTCCAGTGGATGAGGTGTTCGGGGAAGTTCATCTTGGTTAGCACCCTCAGTAGGAAGCCATGGCTAACCCTGTCAAAACCTTTCTCCTGGTCTAGGCTGAGAAAGCCCAAAGTGGACCTCCGCTCCTGGGAGTGCAGGATGAGATCTCTCACCAGGAGCAGGTTGTCAATGATGGACCTACCGGGGATGCTGCAGGTCTGGTCTGGGACTATTGCTGAGGGGAGGTGTGTCTGGAACTGTTTGGTGAGGGCCTTGGTCATTATTTTGTTGTCGACGGAGAGGAGGTCAATGGGGCGCCAGTTCCAGAGATCCTTGAGGTCCCCTTTTTTGGAGATAAGAGATACTGTACTCTGTCACATGGACCCACCCAGCTTCTTTTCCCTGTATAATGGGTTATGAAGGTGGTCCAGGTCTAGTGTTGGCCATGTCATTGCAGATTTGGATGAGGGCTACTAGCAGATCGGTGGTGCTGGATGGTGGCCCCTCCCCTTGGCTGTTCATGGGTCTTGATGTGCCTCCCCTCTGACTGTCCGGTGGCCCCCTAACCTGTCCAGATGGAGGGATGTAGGGTGATAGGAGGGGTGAGGGTGGTGAAAATGGATCAGAGGGTCCAGGGGGTATAGACTGAGGCTGGCTGGTGTGCTGGTGTGCGGGATCAGGTGTAAGGAGGGCTAAGAGGTGTGGATCTGGGTTGCTAAGGGGCAGGGGGAGGAATCAGGGGCAGTAGGAGGTATGGTAGGGGGGTCAAGGGGTAGTGGGAAATTAGGGACAGTAAGGGACGGGGAGGAGCTATCAGAGTAAGTAATGAACTGGGGGGGTAACAGAGGGGGTCTGGAGGGGAGACAGTTTATCGGAGGGGATAGGGGGTTTGGCGGGTTGTGTTTGCTGGCGTCGGGATAGGGGGTTTGGCTGGGGGGGTTGTATGGTGAGGGGTCTTGGGGAGACAGTTTATTGAAAGGGATAGGGGGTTCGGCGGGTCGTGTTTGCTGGCGTCAGGATAGGGGGTTTGTATGACCTCTCTGTATGGCTCTCCTTTGACCAGGGGTTTGGAGGGGGTGGAGGTGACAAGGAAGTGATTTGTTGGGGATGCAAAGGTGAAGGGGCCAGCAGGGGTAGGTCTCTTGTGTGGTGACAGGGGTGGGGGCCATTTCTGAGACATCTTGGGTGGTGGGTTGGGCTGTGCTTGTGGAAAGGTCTGAGTCATCATTGTTGTTGTTGTCTGGTGGAGGGGGTTGGGGGTTGGGGGTTGGGGGTTGGGATTTGGGATTTGGGTTCATGGGGTTGGTGGCGTTGGCCCTTGTCCTGCCGGCATAGGAACTGGGGCAGGTTCTGAAGAAGTGGTCCCCTTTCCCGCACAGGTAGGATTGGCGTCTGGAGGTACAGTCTGAGGTGGGATGGTTGCTTTACAGATCTTGCAGATGATGGCTGTACAGGCTGCGGCCAGATGGCCTAGTTGGTCACAGTTCCTGCACAGTTTGGGCATGCTGTAGTAGTGGACGGAGCCTCTGTTTTTTCCCAGCGTGATGGTGCTGGCTAGGTGTTGGACTCTGCCCACTCCGGTTGGTTCCGGTCTTAACATTACAAGCCATCTTTGTGCCCCAATCCAGACGTTGTCTTCATTCAGGACCCTCCTAGCTGCTGACTTGAGGGTGGCGAACCTGCTTAACCAAACTTGTATGTCGTAGTCCTGGATGCTGTACTGTAACTTTGATTATGTGTCGGAAAGAAGGTATGCTCAGAATTTGTTAAACGGGGCTGAATCTTTTCACGTTCTGAAATTTGACCAAACTGTTCTAGTAACTGGGGGATCTTGAAACTGGCTTCAAATGATTCCTGTGGCCCTTGGGATTTTGCCCTGATGAATTCCAGGCGGGTCATTGTTTCTGGCCTGGCGATTGACGGCTCTGTCTTCGGCAGCCTCCTCGTTGTGGATCAGCATCAGCCCTGGGTTCATTCCGGTCATCTTGTTCAGGTGGATTGTGCAGTTTTTTTGGTTCTGCTCCAGTCATGCATGGGGAGAAAGGACAAACCTCAGAGTGGGCAGACACACATGGAAGGCCATGACCCGTATCTATGCTGCAATAGTCTATGTGCCGGGGGGCTAGGGTCAGTCTGTTATATCTGGTGTTATTCTCCTGTCTTATCCGGTGTCCTGTGTGAATTTAAGTATGCTCCCTCTAATTATCTCTCTCTCCCACTCTCCCATCCCAGAGGACCTGAGCCCTAGGACCATGCCTCAGGACTACCTGGCCTGATGACTCCATGCTGTCCCCAGTCCACCTGGTCGTGCTGCTGCTCCAATCAACCTCTAAATGCCCAGCTATGAAAAGTCAAGTGACATTTACTCCTGATGTACTGACCTGTTGCAACCTCTACAACCCCTGTGATTATTATTTGACCCTGCTGGTCATCTATGAACGTTTGAACATCTTGGAGAAAAATCTGGCCTTAATGGCAATGTACAGTTATAATCTCCACCCGGCACAGCCAGAAGGGGACTGGCTAACCATCAGAGCCTGGTTCCTCTCTAGGTTTCTTCCTAGGTTTCTGCCTTTCTAGTGAGTTTTTCCTAGCCACCATGCTTCTACATCTGCATTGCTTGCTGTTTGGGGTTTTAGGCTGGGTTTCTGTATAGCACTTTGTGACATCTGCTGATGTAAAAAGGGCTTTATAAATAACATTTGATTGATTGATTGATTGATTGAATGGGGGCACTCTCCTGTGGTCTGCTCGCTCCAGGCATAGGTTGGTGTCTTTGGTCCTTCCTCCGCGCCTCTGGTTCTAGTGGGAATGCTTTCTGGTCTGCTCCAGGTGGTTGGTGGTGGCCTGAGGAGGGCAGAAAAAAAGAAAGGCAGGGGAGGAGTGCTGCAGGCCAAGGGTAGAGGGAGTAAGGCTTGCCTCAGCAGCACTCTACTGGCCTCAAGGCCTGCACTCCGTCGTCTCCTCCTCAAGCAGTTGGTCCGTTGCTTGTTCTGGATGCTGGAGGGTTCCAGGTGGTCCGTGGACTGGGGAGTCAGGTCGGGCTGCGGTCATGCCACTGTTACTGCCTCCTGGTCTGTCCAAAGAAAAGGAGAGAGTGTAGAGAAATCTCCAGCATGCAGGGTTGTGCATAATGAAGAGAAACCACAGTCGTAATTCTATATTAAAGTGTACAAACATAACATGATGAACATGAATGACATTTACTCTCACAGGTGGCCATAAATAACTATATGAAAGTCACACCCTTAATAAACCACCGTTTTGGATTACCCAAACATGGGTTAATTTAACCATCAGTTGGGTTTTTATTCACTGTCATGCTGGGTTGACCCTGCATGTTGTCATATTTTAATGTAATTCATAGGTTATTTTCAGGATGTGTGGCCTTTTTGGGGCGTGGCTTTCAGAAAGGTATTTTTGGCCACCCGTGAGAGTAAGTGTAATTCCTGTTCATCATGTTATGTTTGTACACTTTGATATATAATTACGACTCTGGTTTCTCTTCATGTTATATTGCAAATGTATACTGAATGAAAATATAAATGTAACAATGTCAAAGATTTTACTGAGTTGCAGTTCTTAAAATGAAATCATTCAATTGAAATAAATAAATTAGGCCCTAATATATGGATTTCACATGCCTGGGCAGAGGTGCAGCCATGGGTGGGCTTGGGAGGGCATAGCCCCAGCCAATCAGAATGAGTTTTTCCCCACAAAAGGGGTTTATTACAGACAGAAATACTCCTGAGAAGATCCCGCAGGTGAAGAAGCCGGATGTGGAGGTCCTGGGCTGGCATGGGTCTGCGGTTGTGAGGCCGGTTGGATGTACTGCCAAATTCTCTAACACGACGTTGGAGGTGGCGTATGGTAGAGAAATTAACATTCAGCTCTGTTGGACATTCCTCCAGTCTGCATACCAATTTCACGCTCCCTCAAAACATGAGACTTCTGTGGCATTGTGTTGAGTGAGAAAACTGCACATTTTAAGTGGCCCTTTATTGTCCCAAGCACAAGGTGCATATGTGTAATGATCATGCTGTTTAATCAGCTTCTTGAAATGCCACACCTGTCAGGTGGATGGATTATCTTGGCAAAGGAGAAATGCTCACTAACAGCAATGTAAACACATTTGTGCACACAATTTGAGAGAAATAAGCTTTTTGTGTGTATGGGAAATGTCTGGGATTTTTTATTTCAGCTCATGAAACATGGGACCAACACTTTACATGTTGCGTTTATATTTTTGTTCAGTCTATATTTCCCTTCAGTATATTTGAAAAAGTACATACGCTAACATACAGTCAATAACATTACTTCAGAATCTTAAATAAGTGTTAACCATCCCAGGTAGTTGTAGAAATCAACTTGTTTAAGCCTCATTAAGCTACACCACTATCAGTACACAACCTTAACATGTGTTGACTATATAACGGAACAGATGGACTGGAATGACATTAACTCTCACGGGTGGCCAAAAAGCACTAGCTGAAACTTACGCTCCTGCTAAGCTACGCCTCCAGTCTTCTGATCTGACCGGGTAGATCATAGATCAATAACCCAACTAAGTGACACAACTGGCTAAGTCGACAATAACCCAACACTTATTCTGTCCACTATTTACCCAGTGCTGGGTTATTTTTAACCAAGCATTTATTAGGTTCAGTAGCGTGTGGTTCTTGCACCGTTTTGGAGCAGTACAAGTGCCATTCTCTCTTGAATTTCAGCCAGTTATCTGTGATATTTTCATCAATGTGTCGGAGTCCTTGTGCCATAATCCTCTAGCATCTGACACCATGTAGTTGTGTGTAATGATAAGTAAACGGTTCTACTTTACTTATACATCATGATATATATATATATATATATATATATATATATATATATATATATATATATATGTATATGTGTGTGTTTTTTTTTCATGATATATGAACATTGTCTGCCAGTCTATATATTACATTTACATTTCAGTCATTTAGCAGACGCTCTTATCCAGAGCGACTTACAGGAGC